CAAGTGGGGAACCAAGGAAACCATGCAACTTCCCATGGTGTGTGGTTGGTTTGTGGTTGGTTTGTGGTTGGTTTGTGGTTGGTTTGTGGTTGGTTTGTGTGGTTTGTGGTTGGTTTACTTGCAACAAGGCCATCCACCGTCCTTTCCGAGGTTTAGGAAGCTCGCCTTCGGCGCTGAGCCTCAGCAAGTCTGGCTCCCCCGCGCCGGCGCGGAGTCCGAGCCGCTCCGGGCCTGCGCCGCCCACCTACGGCATGAGCGCCTCGGCCGGTTCTCGGCCGGTTCTCGGCCGGTTCTCGGCAGTCGCGGCTGTTGTGGAGTGGCTTTGATGTATCCAGCATTTTTTTTAAATCATACTTCTTTAGGTGTGATTATAATTGTTGTTTTAGGAAAACGTGTTAAGCTTTATTCATTTTGTTGGATCAGGTATATCGGGCGGCTTCGTCTTTTGATGGTGGGTGTCGGAAATTATCCGTTTCGGATGGAAGGGAAGGGAGATGTGGGATTGGGGTTTCAATTTTGAGACGTAGCCCTGCAGCCTTGGGGTTGGTTCAAAGGGAAGAAGGGTTGAACACCACACATTTTGGGGCCAAATCCCTGTTTTGGGGCCGAAAAAAAGGTTGAAACAAGCAGTGTTAGGGGTCCTCTAGTTTGACAATTTTCCATATGTCTCCTCCTTGTGGTTGTAAGCATCACCTTTTGAGGGCTTTCAGAGTGAGTTTCCTTTGGGTTAAAGTTTAAACGGGAAACATATAGAAAGCAAGCTGGTGTTGGCAGAAAGTCTTCGGTGTTCTTTCTCCGAAACTCGGAGAAACATGTGGAGACACAGTAGATTCATAAACTCGAACAATTAGAATTCAGAATTAGGGGGGCCCATTTCATGTTTTTCGTCCAGAATCTGTGAACACTCTCAGTCAGGGATTTGTCCCTTGTACTTAAGCCAAGTGGGACTTTTCCTGAGATTCATTGTCGAGTCCGAGGATCTTGGCAGTCTCCTGGTTACCTTTCTGTACCGTGAGTTTCCCAGGTGAACTCGGGGACTTAGTTTGTACCCTTCTCGCCAATGTCAAAGTTGGCCCCGCGACTTTGACATGGCGTATGTTTATTCATGGACCATGGCTCAACGGTGAAACGGCTAGCAATTGGTGACCATCTGAAGCCGTCATAGTTGTGGATAATATCGCCTTCTGTGATACCAACGTGGGAATCTAATCCCTAAACCATTTTGCTCCAATGGTCTTGATTCCATGTGCCTGCCCACTTGTGTGTCCGTTGCCAAGTTAGGTAAGCGATGAGCTTCTAGGCAATCCCTCACAAAGGCTCAGCCTCATGTTGCGAAAGACACTCTTGTCACTCACCCACAGCTTCCTTTTCATGAAATGGGGAACTAGCCACATCACCCAGCGCCTGCAAATGCCCCGGGATGCCACGGATTGCTCGGCTAAGGTTGGCTGGGCACGTCTCTTCCAGCCTTGGACTTTGTAGATCTTGGCAGCCCGTTTCCTTTACGGACGCCCATGCGTTGCGAGAGTTCCTCACCAGCCTATGGAATGAGCAGATTAGAGTCCTGCCTTTTCGCACTGGACTTCTCCCACTCCGGGCCTCCGGCCCCTCCAAAAGGTTGGACTTGACCAGATAGCATGCTGCCTGTCTACGGTTTAGCGCGTCTTGGCAGTGCGCCTTCAACATTAGATTTGTGTCACCTGGGAGCTTCGCCCTCCCCGAAAAGCTCCGCACGCTTCGGTCCTCCCGCCTTTTTGTATGGCACGGCGCGGTCGGGTTTCGTTTTGTCCGTTCCGGACTTCGCCAGCTCTGGCGCCGCCACGCCTCCCAGAAAGTTTGGCCGCTTCGGTTCCCCGGTTTCCACCTACTGCTGCGCACGCCTTGGCTTGTCCACGTTGTCGCCAGACCTCATGTCGATGGGCTCGGCGGTGTCGGCGAAAAGCCACTCGCGGCCGGGCGCGGCGTTGTTGCTTTATGGCATGTCGCGGCTGGGAAGCTCCATGTCGGCCTTGGACTATTTGCACCCAGAGCCCTCCTTGTCGCCACGAGGCCTCGTGAGGTTAGGCCCTTCGATGCTGATCTATGGAGTGACCCGATTGGAGGCCGCGTTGTCGGCATTGGACCGCACCAACACTGGCCCGGCCTCATCGCCGCGATTCCTTGCCCGCGCCGGATCCCTGACGTTGGCATATGGCGTTTCGCGCCCGGGGCTGGCCTTGCCGGTGCTTGACTCTGCGTGCCTGGGCTTCTTGTCGCCAATGAGCAGCTTTATGTGGCCCGGCGCGTTGATGCTGGTCTATGGCCTATCTTGGTTGGGTTTGTTGCTGTCAGCCCCGAACTTTGCCATGGCCGGCCCGGCCATGCCTTTGCACGCCTCCGCCCGCTGCAGTGCGGATCTGCCAGTCTATGGCTTGGTTTGCTTGGGCTTCTTCTTACCGGCCTTGGACTTTGTGAACATCGGCCCTGCCTTGCCGCTCCAGAGCTTTGGGCGTTCAGATCCGTTGATGCCTTTGTCTGGCATGGCGCGCTCGGGGTTTGCAACGGCGGCTTACAACTACGCAGAGCTGGGTAGCGGTTTGTTCGTCACGAGCTTTGGTCGCTTTGAAAACACCCCATCCACCTACGGACTGTCGCGCTTGTCCCACGGCGTCCCAATCCTGGACTTTGCGAGCATGGGCTCTTCAGCGTCGCCCCGGGGCTTTGTGAGGATGGGCCTGTTGCTGGTTTTATACGGCTGCACCACACCAGGGGCTTTCCTGTCGACCCTAAATACGGTTCAACCGGAGTTGCTTGTGTTGTTGCAGGGACCCGTGAGAACGGACTCGTCGACCTTGGTGTATGGTATGGCCTGCTTAGACCCTTTCTTGCTTGTCTTGGACTTCACTCATCCCGAGGCTTCCTTGTCGTTGCAGAGCTCAGCTCGACCCGGTCAAGCCACGCCCGCATACGGTTGCGCTCAGTCAGCCTTGTCCTTGCCGGCTCTGGACTTTCTCAGCTTGGGCAGCTTTGTGTTGCTGCGATCACTGGTGCGGTCAGGCCTCCCATCCCCAGTGTATGGGCTGACTTGTCTTGGTCTTCCCTTGTCAATGTTGGACTCCCTATCCCTTGGTCCGCCCTCGCTCCCGCGGACGCTTGCGCAGCCAGGTGCGCCCATGCCCACCTATGGGGTGACATGGCCAGGGCCGGCGCCGCCTGTGTCGAGTTGCGCCAGTTCGGGGTCTTCGCCGCCCTCGCGGTCGCCCGCGCGGGCTGCCACGATCTCCGTCTATGGGCCAAGCCGCCTGGGGCCGTCTCCGCCAGCACCCGACCCTGTAAAGCCAGGAAGCTTGTCGCCTCTCAGAGGCCTGGTGTGCTTGGGTTCCAGTTCGTTGGTCTTCGGCATGTCCAAGCTGGGCTCCAGCCTTTCGGCCCTTGACTTCTTGCATCTCGGCCCTACTCCTCTGTCGCGGGGTTTCGCGTGTATAGGCTCTGCGCCTTTGGCATCTGGTCTCATGCGGCTCGGCCTTCCACTGTTGCCCTTCGACTTCGCCAGCTCTGGCTCCATGCTGTTGCCAAGGAGCCCCATGCGTGCTGGCTCCAACTTGCCTGCTTATGGCATGAGCCGCTTGGGGCCCTTGCCGTCCGCACTGGACCCCATCTATGCCGGAAGCTCGTCGTTGCTGCAGGCGCCCTTGCGCTTGGGATCGCCATTGCTGGCCTTCGGCCTGACTTGCCTCGAGCCCGCCCTTTTGATGCTGGACTTCCTAAGTCTGGGGCCTTCAACGTCGCTCAGGGCGAACATGCGCACCGGACCCAGCTTGTTTGCCTATGGCATCACGCGGACGGGCTTGCCTCCGCCTCTGTCGGACATGATCGGCTTGGGCTCATTTTTGCCGCCTCAGGGCTCCACTCGTCTGGATTTCTCTGCCTTGCCCTATGGGTTCGCCAGACTGGGCTTTCTGCCTCTGGTGCTTGACTTCGTCTCTTTGGGGCCGATACCGCCCTCAAGGGCACCGGCTTGATTGGGATTGGCCTTGTTGGCATCTGGCATGACTTGTTTGGGCCTCACGCTGTCGGCGCTGGACCCTATTCATGTTGGCAGCACCTCGTCGGCGCGGTCTCACGCCCGCCTTGGATTCGCTCTGCTTATCTACGGACTTACCCGCCCGGGACCGCCGCCCTTGGTACCGGACCACGTGTCGGCCGATTCGCCACTACCGCCCAGGAGCCTTGCACAGCCCGGGTTTCTGATGCCCGCCTATGGCTTTGCGCGCTCAGGGCTGTCGCTGCTGACACTGGACTTCGCGCACCCCGAAGCTGCGATGCTGCCACAGAGCCTTGCTTGCTTCGGCTCTGTGCTGCTGGTCTTCGGTGTTTCCAGGCCGGAGCCCACTCTGTTCGTACCCGACCTCTTTCACTCAGGAGCCCCTCTCTCGCCCAGGAGTTATATCTGGTTTGGCCCGATCATGTCTTTGTACGGCCTCACGCGGACAGAACTCCTGATGTCGGCCCTGGACTCTTTTCAGCCCGACTCTGCTCCACTGGTGAGGGCCATGTGCCGTTTAGACCCGCCGCTGTTGGTGTACGGCCTGTCTTGTCCCGGGCCTTCGCCGTCTGTCCTGGACTTTGTAGCAATGAGCTCCCTTCTGTCGCCTCAGTCTCCTGTCCGCCCAGGTTCCGCCTTGCCGGTCTACGGTCTCACGCGCCCAGAGCCCACCTTGCTGCTGATTGATCTGAGCAACCTGGGGCCGCCCATGCCGCCGCGTTCCCACATGAGTGCCGGCCCGTCACCCTTTGCATACGGTTTAGTTTGCTGCGGCCCATCGACGTCCACCCTGGACCATGCGAACCCCGGAAGCCCATTGTCACCCAGGACGTCGGCACGACTTGGCTTCCCCATGTCTGCCTATGGCTTGTGGCGCCTGGACCTTCCCATGCCGACCCTGGACCGGGTATCTGCGGGCTCGCCCACTCCAACGCGCGGGCCCGTTTGACTTGGCTTTTGCCCGCCCGCCTTCGGCATGGCTCGTTTGGGTTCAGCCCTCTCAGCCCCAGACCACTGCAGCTTTGGCCCGGCGCTTTTGCTGCGGGGCTCCGCGCGGACGGGTGTTCCGCTGCTTGTCTTCGGGGTTGCTTGCCTTGGGCCCCCCTTGCCCACTTTGGACTTTGTGACTCTGGGCCCTCAGCTGCCGCCCCAAGGCTCTGTCCGCTTGGAGCTTTCGCCGCCAACGTACGGCATGGCGTGGTTGGGCCCACCACCCTCCGCCGTTGACATGTGTCACACTGGCTTTCCCACGCCTTTGCGGAAGCACTACTGCTTGGGCTTGGCACCTTTCGCCTATGGCCTGTCTTGGCCGGACCTGTCCTCGTCTATAATGGATCATGCACACTTGGGCTTGGCGCTGTCGCTACGCTGCTATGGCTGCATCGGCCCAACGTTGCCGGTTTTTGGCATGATGCGCCTAGGCCCCTCGCCCCCAATACTGGACCACATGCGGCTGTCCTCCTCGCCCTCGTTGCGGAGGTTTGCACAGCCAGACCTTTCGTTGCCCGCGTTCGGGGCGAGCAAGCTGGGTGAGTCTTTATCAGCACTGGACCTCATACACGTGGGACCCTTCCTGTTTTTGCAGAAGCCCATGTGCCTGGGCTTCACCTTGTTCGCCTACGGCCTGTCCTGCCTGGGTCCTGCATTGCTGATGCCAGACATCATCCACTTGGGGTCCGCCATGTCTCTCAAGGGCCTCGCACGGGTAGACTTCAGCCTGTTGGCCTATGGCTTGCTGTGTATGGACTTGTCCCCGCCTGCTGCAGATCTCATCACCTTCGGGCCCTCGCTTGTGCTGCGGAAGCTCTCGCGCACGGGCAGTCTTCTCTTGGTATACGGCTTGGCGCGCACGGGCCTGTCATGCTCGGTTCTGGACTTTGCGTGCCTTGGCAGCTCCTCATTTTTCCGAACCCTTTCCAAGGCTGGCTCTGCCACGCCTACCTACGGCATGAACTGCTTGGAGCTGCCGCTGTTGGTGCTAGACTACTTGCAGTTGGGATTTCCGTTGCTTCCTCACAGCTCTGTGCAGTGTGACCCGTTGTCGCCACTTTATGGCGTGGCTCGGCTCGGCTCCTTGCTGCCGGTGTTGGAGCATGTGTGGACGGCTAGCTCCATGTCCTTCAGATCCTTCTCTCGACCTGGGCCGTCGATGTTGGTCTATGGCATGGCGCGCTTGGGCTTCCCCCCTCCAGCCCCGGACCCTGTGACCTTGGGCTTTTCCACCTCCTCGAGGGCTCTCGCAAGGCCGGAGGCGCCTCCATCTATGCCGGGGCTCCTTGACATAGCCTCTGGCATGAAAGTCTTAGGCCCCAACGACTTTTGCAGCGCCTACTCAGTGCGGAGCTATGCCCGGCTTGGCTCGCCCCTACTGCTCTATGGCCTGACATGCTCGGACTTGCCCTCGTCAGCCCTGGACCCTGGGAGCCTTGGCTTGGCCTCCTCTCTCAGGTCCCACTGTCATTTGGGCTTGCCCTTGTCAGCCTTCGGGATGGCGTGCCCTGAGCCTTTGCTTTCGGCCTCGGATTTTGTGACTCTGGGCAGCTCCACGCCAGCCAGCGCGCTTGTCCGACTGGACGATTCCTCGTCCCCCTACGACTTCGCCAACTTCCGCAGCGGCTTGTCTTTGCGGAGCTACACGCGTCCCGGTCTCGCCACGTCTGCATATGGCCTGGCGCGGCCTGGTTTGCCCTTTCCCGTGTTGGACTTTGTGCACATGGGCTCCTTGTCGCCTCCCCGCAGCCTCGGCCGCCTGGAAGCCGCCGCTTCGGCCTTTGGCTGCGCCCGCTTGGGGCCAACGACTCCGGTGTCGGATTTCGTGTCCCTGGGTGTGCCGCCGCCCACGCGAGGCCACCTGCGGCTTGGCCCCACGACCTTGGCCTATGGCGTCATGTGGCCTGGCTTTTCGCCGCCGGCCTCAGACCCTCTGAAGCCAGGCGTGTTGCCTCCCCTGCGCAACCCCGCACATCTAGGCAGCCCGCTGCCCGCTTACGGCGTCGCGCGCTTGGGAGTGCCCTTGTTGGTCCTGGATTCCGTGACCACCGGCCTTTCGCCTTTGTTGCAGGCACCTGCCTGACTGGGGTCCCTGATGCCGGTCTATGGCATGAACAGGATGGGGGCGCTGTTGCTGGTTCTTGACTCTATGCACATCGGGCTTTCGCCGTTTCTTCGAGGCTCTGCTTGTTTTGGACCGCTGCTGCCTGCGTTCGGCTTGGTGAGGCTTGGACTTCCGCTCTTTGTGCTGGACTTGGCTCATTTCGGCTCGCCGCCTTCACTGCAGGCATTCATTCGCCTAGACTTGCTGATGTTTGTCTATGGCATGTGTCGCACTGGTTCTCTCATGTTGTTGTTGGACTACATCCAGTCGGGCCCAACCCTATTTGCCAGAGGTCTTGTTCGCTTGGACCTTTTGCCTTCTGCCTACGGCATCACCCGCCTTGGCTTGCTGCTGTTTGCCCTCGACCACCTCCACCCTGACCCCACCATGTTGCTGCAGGCCTTTTTGCGTATCGGCCCCTTTCCGCTTGTTTATGGGCTGAATCGTTTGGGTAGCCCCTTGCTGGTTTTGGACTTTGCACAGATGGGGTCCACGCTGTTCGCCCAGAGCTTCGTTCATCTCGGTTTGGCCTTGCCGGCCTTTGGCATGATGCGGCTGGGCTCGGCTGCGCCGACCATCGACCACCTCTGCCTGGGATCAGCCTACTTGTTGCGGAGCTTCGCGCGCATGGGGCCAGCGCCATTGGCCTCCGGGATGATGTGCTCGGGGCTTCCGCCGCCGGCACTGAACCACTTCGGGCCGGGGAGCATCTTGCCCTTGCGGGGCTACGTGCGTTTGGGCGCCAGCTTGTCCGTGTTCGGGATGACCCGCTTGGGCCTTCCGTCGCCCTTGCTGGACTTCTTTTCAATGGGCCCCTTCTTGCCACCCCGCAGCCCCTTCAAAATGGAGCTGCCGCCTTCTGCATACGGCTTCAATCGCCTCGGCCCCATGCTGTCTGCGTCGGACTTCGTTCACTTGGGCTTGCCACCCCCTGCGCGGAGTTATGCCTACCCAGACCTAGCGCCATTTGCCTACGGCTTGCTGCGCTTGGGGCTTACGCTTTCAGCTCCGGACCGCGCGCACCCAGGAAGCCCAACATTGTCGAGGAGCCTCCTCTGTGCAGATTTTTCCTTATTGGCCTACGGCATGGCGCGCACAGGCTCCACCCCTTCGGTGTTGGATCACAGCTCCTTGGGCTCCTCCCTTCCCCTGCGTGCCTCGGCGCGCTTCGGCCCGCCGCTCCTGGCCTACGGCATGATGCGTCTCGGCTCCGCCCCTTCGGCCTTGGGGTTTACTGAGCTCGGCGCTTCGCCGTTTTTGAGGAGCCACATTCGACTGGGCTTTGGGCCGCTTGCCTCTGGCCTGTCCCGCTCAGAGCCCATGCTGCCATCGTCGGATTTTGCCAACGTGGGCTTCTCACCGCCCACTCGCAGCTTCATGTGGCCTGAGCCGATGCTTTCAGTGTCCGGGCTGTCAAGGCTGGAGCCCATCATGCCAATCCTGGACCCCATTCAGGCAAGCTCGGCTTTGTCTTTGAGGTCCCATGTGCAGCTGGGAAACAACCCATCAGCCTCCGGCATGGAACGTTTGGAGCTGCCGCTCTCGGCTTTGGACTTTCTTGGGCCGGGACCTGCTCTGCCCTTGCGCTCACTCGTTTGGTTGGAGCCTGCGCCTTTGGCCTTTGGCTGCTCGCGGCTCGAACTGCCGCCTTCCACTCTGGACGTCCTGCAACTCGGCAGCCCTTTGCCGCTTCACAGTTTCATGCGCACGGGATCCTTGACATTGCTCTATGGTGTGACTCGCTTAACCTCCGTGTCCGTGCTGGACTATGCTCGCCTGGGCTTCTCGTTGTTGCTACGAAGCTCCGTTCGCACGGAGCCGGTGCTGCCAGTCTTCGGGGTCTCCCGCCTGGGCTTCAGCCCACCTTCGCCCGACCACCTCCACTTCGCCTCTTTGCTGCCGGCGCACGCCTTCGCTCGCCCGGGCCTTCTGCTGTTCGCCTTTGGGGTCTCGCTCCCCGGACCGCCGCTTTTGGCGCCGGACCACGGCATTACGGGAAGCTTGCTGTCGCCCCGGGGCTTCGCGCAACCTGGCTTGAGCTCCTCTCCCTACGGCATGACGCGGCCTGGGCCCTTGCCGCCAGCATCGGATTCTGCCCACCCAGATGCCCCGACGTCGCCCCAGAGCCCCTTCCGCCTTGGACCGGTTATGGCAACCTATGGCATGACGAGCTCGGGCTTCTTGCCGCCCACTTTGGACTATGTGCAGCCTGGGCCGCCCACGTCGTCCCAGTCATTTTCCCAGCCAGATGCTTCTCCACTGGCCTACGGCATGACACGGATTGACCTGCTTACGCCAGCGCCCGACTTTGTGCTTACAGGTTTCAGCTTGTCCTTGCACAGCTTCCTTCACCCAGGCTCCGCCATGCCCCTCTTTGGGTGTTCGCGCTCAGAGCCCATCCCTTCGACTCCCGACTTTGTCACTCTGGGGTCTACGCTCTCAGCAAATCGCTGCGTGCGGCTGGGGCCCACATCCTTCGCCTTCAATCAGCTTCGCTTCGGCTTGATCTTGCCGGTCCCGGATTTCGTCCACATCGGCTTCTCTCCATCACTGCGCAATTTCGCATGCTCGGGCTCGGCCTTGTCTCTCTACGGCATGATCCGACTCGGCCTTCTGCCGCTGACACCGGGCCACATGACCATTGGCTTGTTCACTCCTTTGCGAGGTCATGTGCATTTGGGTTTCCGGCCATTGCCCTATGGCTGCAGCCGCCTGGACTTTTCCGCGCCCATCCCTGACCCCTTAAGCTTGGGCTCCTTTCTGTCGCCCCGCACCATGATACGGATGGGCCCTTCATCGTCCCCCAGTGGCCTGTCCTGATCGGAGCTTTCTTCGCCCACGCCGGACCTCATGCAGATGGGCTCAGCGCCCTTCTTGCGGTCCTTCATGCGCCTGGGTCTACTTTTGCCGGCTTTCGGCCTCACTCGGCCAGACCCACCGCTGCCTTTGCTGGACCCTGCCAGCCCCAGCAAGACGCTTTTGCCCCGGGGCTTCGCTCGCATGGACTCGCCGATGCCGGCATATGGCCTGATGCGTTCGGGCTCCCCACTGCTGCCTTTGGATTTCGCGCACCTGGGCAGCTCCTTCTCATTGCGCAGCTTCTTGAGGCTGGGCTTGGCGCCTTCCACTCACGGCGTTATGTGCATGGGGCCGCCTCTGCCAGCGCCCGACTTTATTCACTGTGGGCTTCCGATGCTGCTCCAGACCCTTTCTCAGCTGGGGTCGTCACTGTCCATCTACGGCATGGCGCGGCTGGGCTTTTTGCTGTCAGCCCCGGACCCTGTGAGCCCAGGCTCCTTGCCATCGGCTCGCAGCTCTGTCCGCTCTGGTTTGCCCATGTCGCCCTACGGTACCTCCCGCTTGGGGTTGTCGCTTTTGGCATTGGACCTTGTGCATTTGGACTCGTCCATACCTCCGCGCAGCTTCTGCTGTCCCGGATCTCCGCCCTTCGCCTTCGGGGCCTCGCGCTTAGACCTGCCCATGTACGCGGATGACGAGGTCTTCTTTGGGAGCACCATGTCGGCACAGTCTTTTGTGCGCTCGGGGTTGTCCGTGCCCTTGTACGGCTTGTCGCGCTTGGGCCCCAGCTTGTTGACCCCGGACTCTGCGCAGATGGGGCTGACTCCATCAGTGCAGACCTTCTTGCGTACGGACCTTGCGCTGCTGACGTATGGAATCACTCGCCCAGAGAGCCCGCTGTTGGCTTGCGACTTCCTGGCACTGGACTCCTCCTCGTTCTCACGCTCCTTCAGTCGCTCAGACGCTCCCATGGCGGTCTACAGCACATTGCGGACGGAAGTAGCACTGCCTTTGCCGGACTTCGGCTACTTCGGCAGCACGTCGCCATCGAGAGCGCTCACTCACCCGGACTCCTCTCCATCCGTTTCCGGCATGATGCGTTGTGGTTCCACTCCGTTTATTCTCGACAGGGTCTGCATTGGCTTTGCCTCGCCTTCGCGATCCTTCTTGCACCTTGGCCTGGCTTTGTTGGTCTACGGCATCATGCGCTTGGGCTCATTTCTGTCCACTTTGGACGGCATCGAGGGGGGCGGCAACCTGCCGGTGGTCTCCTTTGCACGTCTGGGTTCTACGCCCTTGGCCTTCGGCATGGCACGACTCGGGCTGATGCCTCTGGTGCTCGACTCCATCTCCTTAGGCCCTACGTCGCTCTTGCGGAGCTTCGCGCACTGCGGCCTCTCCTCGTCGGCCTACGGGCTCACCAGGTCGGAGCTTTCACCTTTCATGTTGGACTCCATCCACTTGGGGTCTCTCATGTTGCCGAAGGGCCACTGCCGCCTGGGCTTCATTTTGTCGGCTTCTGGCATGGCGTGTTTGGACTTGGCGCCTTTATTCACCGACCTCGCCTACACGGGCAGCTCCTTGTTGCCCCGAAGCCTTCTCTGGCCCGGCTTTACCATGTTGGCCTATGGCATGACGCGTTTGGGCCTCAACCCGCCAGCTCCTGACCTCCTAAAGCTAGGCTCCTCCCCTTCCTCGCAAGCATCTTTGCACCTCGATCTCTCACTCTTGGCCTACGGCATGGCGCGGCTCTGCAGCTCCGCGCCCATCTTGGACTGCCTCAACCTGGGCTCTTCGGTTCCCACGCGGAACCCCATGCGCTCGGAGAGCCCCACGTCTGCCTATGGGCTCACGCGCCTGGATCCGCCTCTGCCGCCCTCGGACCCCGCAACCATCAGCTCGCCGTCTTCTTCGCGCAGCCTTGCGAGGCTGGGAAGCACGCTCTTGCCCTATGGCTGCCTGACTCTGGCGCCCCGGCAAGGAGAACCGGAGAGATGAGGTTGGGACGTGTTTTTTTGGGTCTGACCAGAGTCTGCCTGGCATTGGGCGATGTGAGGTGTGGTCAAAGCTGTGTGAAATTTGAAGGTCAATTTGGTAGGGAGCCGCTCGAACGTTCGAATGTTTATAGGTAAATTGTGGAAACTACATGACCGTGGTGCATATGGCTCTTGGAGTGTAGATCAAAAATCACATGTACTTGGCAGTTATTGTTCTGCCCCACTAACTCGCAAGCGTTTTGCTCGCAGGTTCGCACACAGCATGATGGTGTTTCTTCTGCTTCTCCTGTAACATCCGCAAAACCAAGTACACCCATAACAGACATATACTCCTACATTGACGCGACCTGCTATTCACTTGAAGGAGCAAGTGCGGAGGTGAGACAATTCAGGTCTCAGCTGCCAGCAGCCGCCGTTTTTGTGGCTTCCTCTGGCTTCCTTCGGCGCATGTCTTGCGAGGGGAACCTGCCTGAAAGGGAAACAAACAAAGAGGGGAACCTGTCTTAAAGGAAGGCTTTGCGAGGGGAACCTGCTTGGAGGGGTGCCTATCTCTTTGTTTGCCTTCTTCCTCTTCTCCAAGCCCTTTGACCAAGTGAAGGTGGCGCGAGAAGGCTTCGCTCGATTCTAGGGGAAACAGGCGGGACATAGTTCAAGTTCATCAACGGCTGACGAAAGCTTGGCCGACACGGCTTTCACTCTTGGTTGCAAAGATGGGACAATTCTTGACTGCTATTGGGTTGGATCTTTGGACTTTAACTTTTTGGGAAATCATAGGGGTTTGCTACCAAACCCACAAAAGTTACACTTTTTGCAGAGGGGTCAACAGCAACCAAGAATTGAAGCGACTTTTCGGGCTGGGGAGCTAGAACCGTGAGCCCTACCGAAGCAGACATGTTCAAAGCTTGGGATCAACGACCCTAAAAGACCTGAAGCAAGATTTTGGGTGCCTAAAGGGTGCTCTGTGTCAAGTTCCAATCGAATCTCAGTTTTTGAGGCTCGCCGAAATTGGAAAGGGGAGGGTCGAGGTGAAAGTCCCCCCAAATTATCGGCAGGTCTCAGGTGCCAGGTAGTAGGCGTTTTGGTAGACAATTCCAGTGGGAAGTGTCAATTCCAGGACTGGCAAATGTGTTGCAACTCATCTTCAAGGATCCTGCAGCCCAGAGACGCCAAGCCGTGGAAGTTTGGGGCACTTAAAGAGGATGGTCTTCCAAAGCCTTCTGTCTACTCGGAAAGAGGGTAAGTCTTGAGGTTGTTTGAGGTCCTCTGAGCTTGCTGTTATTTTTTTGGAGGGGGGGTCTAGGTGGTGTGGCAATAACCCCTGACATTTGGTGGGATGGGGATGGCAGAAGAACTGCCCTGTGTTGGTTGGGTTCGAGTGGGGGCTGGCAAAGATTATGCTGCATGTTGCTTGCACCCCTGGCATGTTTATGCTGAGCAGCATGGATTCCAATGCGTGCATGCCAGGTACCCAAAGGAGCCACCCTTACAAAGCTAAAAAGAACATGCCTGGTTCCCTACCATGGCGGCTTGCGCACGCTTGCCTGGGATCCGCAAGACTGGAGATTTGCCGGCTAAGGACTTGCCCTTCTTCGTGATTGGCTCAGCCTACATGGCCTTCTCTTTGCCATTGCGTTGCCCCGGCCGCCTTGGCTTTGCCCTGTCTGTTTCCGCCACCTCGCGCACGGGCGAGCCGCTTTCCGTGCCGGACTACGTGCACGTGGACCCCTCGTCGCTTTTGCGGAGCCCTTGCCGCCTGGAGCCGGCGCTGTCCGCGTACGGCGCCACGCGCTCGGAAGCAGCACCGCTGGTCTTGGACGCGGCGCACGCGGGAAGCTCCCCGCTGCCCCGCACCTCTTGCCGCATGGGCTCGACCCTGTTGATCTTCGGCATGCAGCGCTTGGACCCTTTGCCTTTGGCGCCGGACCTTTTGCAGATGGATTTTGCCCCCTCCTTGCGAAGCTTCTTGCGCTTGGGGCTTATGGCGCCCACCTATGGCATCAGCACCCTGGGCTCCTTGCCGCCTGCCTTGGACCATGTGACCTTGGGCTCCACGCCTTTGATCCGAGCCTTTATGTGCTCGGAAAGCTCTTTGTCTGCTTATGGCCTGGCACGGTTTGGGTTCTCACCGCTGGTGCTGGACCCTGTGAATCTGGCCTCCTCTTTACCAGCGCGGTCATCCATGCGCTTGGGCCTGCTGCTGTCTGTCTGGGGCCTGGCGCGCTTGGGCTCCACCCCTTCTGCCTCGGATTTTGTGACCGTGGCTTTGTCCATGTTCTTGCGGCAGCTTGTGTGCTCCGACTTCTTTCCGCTGCTCTACGGCATGCTGCGGCCGGACTTTGCGCCTTTGACAACTGACTGCGTGAACTTGGGGCCCTCCCCACTTCCCAGGAGCTTTCTGTATCTTGAGCTTGTGGTGTCAGTCTATGGCATGATGCGTCTGGACTTGGCCCCTTCCGCCACGGACTTTCTGCACCTGGGTTCGCCTCTGTCTCTTCACAGCTTCATGTGCCTCGGCCTCGGCACGTTTGTGGCGGGTGTGGCCAGGATGGGTTCATCCCCGTTGGCGTCGGATCATGTGATGCCAGGCTCGGCCGTGCCGTTGCGCTCCTCCAGCCGTCCAGGGCCCATGCCTCCGGTTTTCGGCATGACGTGGCTGGGCTGCCCACTTTCCGTGTTGGACTTCGGGGACTCCGGCAGCTCCACGCCGGCTCGCAGCTGCTTGAAGGTCGGGTCCATGCTTTTGCCCTACGGCATGACCTGCACGGAGCCTGCGCTGTTGGCCCTGGACTTTGTGAATGCGGGCTCCGCCCCGTTTCCGCAGACCCTCCTGAGGTCTGACGTGTCACCCCCAACTTATGGCTTCACCAAGCTGGGGCTGCCACTGCTGGCGCTGGACTTCTTGCAGCCGGGGCCGGCGCCTTTGCTCCGCAGCTCTGTGCAAGTCGGGCCTTTGCTGCCCACCTACGGCCTCACCCGGCCGGGTGCCTCTCCACCCGCCTGTGATCTCCCCACCTCAGGCCTTCCTTTGCCTCTGCAGAGCCTCATTCGCCTGGACCCCACGGCGCCGGTCTACGGCTTCACGGCTTCGGGCCCCTCTTCGCCGGTACTGGACCACGTGTACTTGGGCTCCGCGCTTCCGCCACGGAGCATGTTCCTCCCAGAACCCAAACCTTCGGCCTTCGGCATGTCTCGACCCGGCTTGCCCTTACTGCCTTTGGACCCTATTCACCTGGGCTTCGCGGCTTCGCCCCAAAGTTGCGTGTGGCTGGGCCTTTCGACTTCGGCATACGGCATGGCGCGCCTGGGCTTCTCCTTGTTGGCCTTGGACCTCGTGCAGCTCGCGAGCCCTCTGAGCCTTCGCAGCTTCATCCGCACCGAGTTCACCTCACCGGCCTTCGGGATGTGCCGAGCGGAAGCCTCCCCGCCGGCGTTGGACCACGTGACTTTTGGCTTCGCCATGTTCATGCGGAGCATGGTGCGCACGGGGCCCATGTCGTTGGCATATGGACTGAACCGGCCCGCGCCCCCGCCCTTGATCCTGGACTTGATCAAAGTGGGCCTGCCGCCGTCTTTGCATGGCCTCACACGCCTGGGATCCACATTGCCCCCTTCTGGCCTTGCGAGGCCGGGCTTTTTCTTGCTTGCACTGGATGCACATTACCCGGGCTCCTCCTCATTTTTGCGCTCTCACCTCCGCACTGGCTCCACTTCACCCACCTCCGGCCTGACCCGCTCAGGCGCCGCCTTGTCAGCGCCCGACACCATCCACGCAGGCCTGACGTCGCCGCTGCGATCTTTTATGCGGGCGGGCGCCGCCATGTCGGCCTACGGGCTCGCGCGCTTGGACTCGAGCGCTCCTGTGCCGGACTCTGCCGAGTTCGGAAGCCCTGCGCTGCTGCGTAAACCTGTGTGCCTTGGGGTGGCCATGCCTCTTTATGGCATGACTCGGTTGGACCTTTCCTTGCCTGCCTTAGACTTTTTTATGCCGGGATTGTCCTTGCCTCTACAAACCTTAGGATGTTTGGGTGGTGACCCGTCAGCATACGGCATGACACGTTCGGGCCTCCCTTTGCCCGTGCTGGACTTCATGCATTTGGAGCCGACTCTGCTCATCCGAAGCCTTTGCCGATCTGACTCCTTGCTGCCAGCCTATGGCATCTCTTACCTCTGCTCCAGTCTGCCAGCCCTGGACTCTGTGCAAACGGGCCCCATGCCGTCCTTGCAATATCACGCTCGACCTGGGCTGGCCTCGCTGGCTTATGGCATGACGCGCTTGGGGCCCTCATCGCCGGCGTCGGACTCTGCCCATTTGGACTTGTTTCTGTTGCCGCGGTACCACTCTCACTCTGGCAGCTCTTTGTTGGTCTACGGTATGGGCCGGCTGGGATCCTCGCTTTTGGCCCTGGACCTCTTTCACGCGGACCTGCCCCTGTTGTTGCACAGCCACTTGCGGATGTCTTCCAGCTTGTCGGTCTATGGACTCAGCAGACTTGGCCCAAGCATTTCAGCGTTAGACCTCATTCACGCAGACCTTGCGCTGTTGTTGCGATCTGCCTTCCGCCCAGGGTTGGTGCCTTCCGCCTATGGCATGACAAACTTGGACCTCACACCCTTGGTGCTGGACCACGTGAGCGTTGGCCCGTCGCTGCCGCTGCAAGGATTCTGTCGCTTTGGCTCATCACTGTTGGCCTTCGGCATGGTGCGCCTTGGTTTGCCTCCCTTGGCCCTAGACTCCGTGCACATCGCCTCTTCGTTGCTGTCGCGTGCCTTTGCACGACTCGGCTCGACGCCTTTGCTCTTCGGAATGACACGGCTGGGGTTGTCGATGCCCACGCCGGCCGTCACCGCTTTCGGCTCCTCCCTGCCGCTCCGCGCACATTGGCGCCTCGGCAGTTTGTTGCCCACCTACGGGATCTCCCGACTCGGCGCGCCTTTGCCGGCGCCGGACCTTCTGAACGTCGGGCCCATGTCGCCGCTCCAAGGACCTGCACGCTTGGGCCTAACTTTGTTCGTGTTCGGGGTGTCGCGGTCAGGGCCGTTTTTGTCGGTACCAGACCTCCTTCACTTGGAGCCCACCGCCTTGGTGCGTGGCTTCGTGCGTGTCGACCCAGCTTCGTCGACCTTCAATTGCGTCCGCCCGGAGCCGCCGCTGCTGCTGTCGGACCTCATGAGCTATGGCAGCACTTCGTTTCTGCGAAGCTTTGCGTGGTTGGGGCTGGCACTCCTGGTCTATGGCTTGACCAAACTGGAGTCACCACTGCCGACCCTGGACCTCCTGAATTGCGGAAGCATGTCGTTGCTGCGAAGTCTCATGTGAAGCGGCCTGGCACTGTTGGCTTTTGGCATGACACGCCTGGACCTGTTGCCGCTGATCCCGGACTCTTTGCATTTGGGCCCTCCACTGCTTTTGCACTATCACGCTCGGCCTGGGCCCCTTCTGCCTGTCTACGGCATGGCGCGCCTGGACTTGTCCCTGCTTGCCCCTGACTCTGTGACCTCAGGCTTTCCGTTGCTCCTGCGAGCGCACCTGCACATGGGCTCCTCACCTCTGGCATTTGGCCTGTCCTGTCTGGGCTTCACGCCTTTGGCACTGGACCTCATTGCCGCGGGCGCCTTGTTGTCGCCCCACAGCCTCTACTGCTCTGGGCCTTTGTCGCCCGCCTATGGCCTGGCGCGTCTGGGCTTGCCTTTGCCGGCGACCGACTCCGCACTGCTGGGGCCCTTGCTGCCGTCACGGAGCCACATGCGCTTGGGCAGCGTGCTGCTGGTGTATGGCATGAACCGCCTTGGAGCCCCGCCATCAGCACTCAACTCCGTGCACTCGGAGCTGTTGTCACCCTTGAGGAGCTACATGCGCACTGGAAGCTTCTTGTTCGCGTACGGCCTGGCCCGCTTGGAGTCCCCGGCTTTGCTCCTGGACCACGTGAGGCTTGGCTTTCTGACGTCGACCCGCACTTTTGCCAGAATCGGCTTTTCTATGCTGGTGTGGGGCATTGCCTGCTCGGGCCCGTCGATCCTGGCCATCGACTGGGTGAATCTGGGCTCTCCCATGCCATCGCAGGCCTGCGCGTGTACGGAAGCCCCCACGTCTGCCTATGGCTTGGTACGTTTGGACTTTTCGCCCTCCATCCTGGACTGCTGCGTTCCTGGCTCGCACCTCCTTTTGAGAAGCCCTGCGCGGTTGGGCCTGGTGCTGTTGACCTACGGCATAAGTTGCGTGGGGTTTCTGCCGCTGGTGCTTGATTCTGCTCACACGGACAGCTCCCCTTCGGTCCGCACACCCTCCAGAGCTGGCAGCCCTACGTTTGCTTTCGGACTGACTCAGATGGGCCTCTTTTTGCTGGCCCCGGACTTTGTTTGCCCTGACTTCTCTGCGTCTCCCCATGCGTTCGCGCGATTGGGGTTGTTGCTGTTGGTTTACGGGCTGGTCCGGCTGGGATTGCCATTGCTGTCATCGGACTCTGCCACAGTGGGCCTTTCATTGTTTTTGCAGGCCTTTGCATGGCCTGGCCCTACCTTGTCGGCATTCGGCATGTCGCGCTTGGAGTTCACGCCTTTGGTGTTGGACCCTGCGTCCATGGGCAGTGCTTTGCTGCCAAGGAGCTTCATGCGCACGGGGAGCATGCCATCAGCCTACGGCATGAACTGCTTGGGCTCCTCTCTGCTGGCGCTTGACTTCATCCACTCGGGCTCCACCCTTCCTCCCAGAGGCTTCACTCGTACAGGCCCTCCTTCATCCGCCTTTGGCATGGCGCGCCTGGGCCTTCTCACGTCGGTGCCGGATTCCGTGCACGCCGGCCTGCCCTCGCTGCTGCAAACGTACCTCTGCATCGGCCCCACTTTGGCTGCCTACGGCATCGCAAGGCCGGGCCTCACGCCACCGGCGCTCGACTATGCGCATTTGGGCTCCGGGATTTTGCTGAGGGGCCACGTGTGCATGGAGCCGCTGCTGTCTGTGTACGGCCTGTTGCGTTGTGAGCCCTCCACGCCTCTGCTGGACTTTGTGAATTTGGGCCTCACCTCACTGCTGCGGTCTCCTGCTTGCACGGGGGCCTCCACGCTGGCCTATGGTATCATGCGCCTGGGATCCAGCCTGTTACTGCCTGACTTTGCTCATTTGGGCCTGTTGCCGCTGCTGCGCATGCTCGCATACGCTGGTAGCCTGTTGCTGGTGTATGGACTGACCCGCTTAGAATCCACCACGCTGCTTCCGGACCTCGCAAACCAGGGCTTGCCGCCCCCTTTGAGGTCACCCCTTCAGCTGGGCCCATCTCCACCGATCTATGGGATGATGCGGGCTGGTCTGACCTCCTTGACCACGGACCTCATCCATCCTGAGCCCTCTTTGTCTCTCCACAGCTTCGCTCGCTTTGGGCCAGCCATGCCCACTTACGGCCTCAGCAGGCCTGGCTTGCCCCTGCCTGCGCCGGATCCTGTCCACTCCGGCCTTTCAGCGCTGGCGCGCTCATTCGCGCGGCTGGGCGCCAGCCCATCTGCTTACGGCATGACCCGCTCGGGCTTGTCACCTCTGGTGTTAGACTCTGTGCAACCGGAGCCAAGCTTTTTGCTGAGAAGCCATATACGCACGGGCTCTAGCACTCCGACCTTCGGCAGCATGCGGCCGGGTTTGGCCTTGCCCACTCTGGACCCTTCCTACTTTGGTTTTCCGCCCTTGCTTCACAGTCTCATGTGCCCTGAGTCCCTTTTGCCGGTTTTCGGCCTGTCATGCCCTGAGCTGGCCTTGCCCCTGCTGGACTGTGCCTCCATTGGCCCATCACCACCGCCCAGGGCGCCCGCGCGCACCGGCAGCTTTCTAGCAGCATATGGCCTGGCAAGAACTGACATGGCTTTGCCTACTCTGGACTCCTCTAGTCTGGGCCTGCCTTTGCCTTTGCACAGCCTCATGCGCACGGGCTCCACACTCTTTGTCTCCGGCCTGGCCCGACTGGGCTTGACACCATCCACTTCAGATTTTGTGAATGTCGAGTTCCCCTTGTCACCTCGAACCCACAGTTGCCTGGGTAGTGTCATGTCAGCCTGGGGCCCAAGCCGCTCGGGCTCTTTGGCACCCTCGTCAGACGCGCTGCAGTCCGGACCTCCGTCATCTTCACGCGCCCTCGCGCGCTCCGATGCATCACTCCCAGCCTACGGCTTGACGAGGCCTGGGCTGTCGTGCCCTGTGTTGGACTTCACCTACTCAGAGCCCACCTCCTCGCTCCAAAGCCTCTGCCACACGGACAGCTCGTCATCTGTGTTCGGCATGACACGGCCAGGTCTTCCGCCGCCCGCGCTGGATTCCGTGGCCTTTGGTAGCGCGATGCTCTTGCGGAGCTCCATTCAGCTGGGCTTGGCGTTGTTGGCCTATGGATTGAGCCGAATCGGTAGTCTGCCTTCAGTGTTGGATTTCATCCACTTAGACCTGCCGCCTTCCTTCCGCAGCCTTGCCCGCTCGGAAGCCCCGTTGTCGGTTTCTGGGTGCTTGCAGCCGGACCTTACCCTGTCCGTGTTGGATTTCGTATCTCTGGGCTTGCCGACGTCATTGCAGTCTCACGTGTGTGTTGACTTCGCCTTGCCTGTGTATGGTCTGACCTGCCTTGGCCCGTCACCCTTTGTACTAGACTTGTTCCATCTTGACCCACCTCTGCTTGCTCGCAGCCCCGCCCGATCGGGTCTCTCCATGTTTGTGTATGGCATTGTCTGCACTGAGCCCCTCTTGTTTGCCTTGGACTCTGCGCACCTTGGCCTTGCATTGCCTTCGCAATCTTCTCTCTGAACTGGTGTTTCTCCCTCTGCCTTCGGCCTTTCCCGCTTGGAATCCTCACCGTTGGCGCTGGACATCAGCCACCTGGGGCCCGCATCATTGCCTCAGGGCCTCTTGCGTCCTGGGTCTTTGTTGCCAGCCTTCGGCCTCACATGGTTAGGAGCTTTGCCGCCCTCGCCCGACTCTGCGCACATGGGCTCCTTGCCTTCTCTGCGGTCCTTCCTGTGTTCAGGTTCCAGCCCATTGGCCTTCGGCACAACCCAGCCTGACCCGCCTCTGCCAGTCTTGGACCCCGTGCAGACGGGCCTTGCCACGCTTTTGCGGAGCTTGGTGCGCTTGGAAAGCCCGCCCTTGGTGTATGGTCTGACACGCTCAGAGCTGCCGCCTTCGGTGCTGGATACTGCAGGCTCCGGCGCTTCCGTACCGCTGCAGAGCCTTGTTCGCTTCGAGGCCTCGGCCTTGGTCTATGGAATGCTCAACTCAGACCTGCCGCCGTCGGTGCTCGACTTCGTTCGCTTGGGGCTGCCGCTCCTGCCCCGAGGCTTTTGCCGCGTGGAGCTGCTTCCGCCTCCCTACGGCATCGCGCGCGTGGGCTTGTTTTTGGCTGTGCCGGACCACATGTCTTTTGGCTTTTCGGCGTCCTTGCGATCGCTTGCCAGATTCGGCTTGGCACCGTTGGTGTATGGACTGGTGCGCTTGGGGTTTCCGCCCCTGTTGTTGGACTTTGCGAACCTGGGGCCCAGCACGCCTTCGCACAGCTCCATGCGCACGGGCCCTTTTTCGCTTGTGTACGGTCTGTCACGGCCTGGATTCCCTTTGCCGGCGCTGGACTTTGCGCATTCCGGCAGCCCCGCGCCCCTGCGAGCGCATGCCCAGTGTGGTCCACCACTGTCCATCTACGGCCTCACGTGGCTTGGAGTCTTTTCGCCAGCCCTTGACCTCATGGATCTTGGCCCCCCGTTGTTTTTGCGCTCACTTGTGCGCATCGGCCCTACCTTATCACTCTTCGGCTTGCTCCGGCCGGGGTTTGCCACGTCAGCCCTGGACCATGTTTGCCCTGACTCTCCAACGCCACCGCAAAGCCCTGCGCGCTTGGGCCCCATGCTTTTGGCCTATGGCCTCTCTCAGTCAGAGCTGTCACTGCTTCTGCCGGACCACGCGCAGCTTGAACTCTCGCCGTCGCCCAGAGGCTTTCTGCGCTTGGGCCCGTCGATGTTCATGTATGGGATGTCCCGGCCCGACTCTCCACCGCCAACTCTGGACCTTCTGAGCCCGGGCTCGAGCCTTTCGCCCCGGACCTTTTTGCGCTTGGGCCTGGCGGTTCCGGCCTTTGGGCTTTGCAAGGTGGAGGCGTCGCTTCTGACCCCCGACCTCGTGCACCTGGACCCGAGCTTGTTTCTGCGCTCGCCCTTCTGCATGGGCTCAACCACATCCGTCTACGGGGTCATGCGCCTTGGCCTGTCGCCGCTGGTGCCGGACCACACCTCTCCGGAGCCGCTGCTGTCACCACAAAGCTCCTTGCGCCCGGGAGTTGCGATGTCCGCCTACGGCCTTACACGGCCGGGCAGCATCTTATCTGCCCCAGACCTAGCCACCGTTGGTCCCTCACTGCCCTCGCAATCTTTTGCCCAGCCTGAACCTATCCTTTCAGCCTACGGTCTGGTGTGTTTAGGCTCCACGCTGCTTCTGTTGGACCTCGCCACTCCCGGCCTGTTCTCGCTTTTGCGGAGCTCCCTGCATTTGGGCGCTTCCTCATTCGCCTCTGGCCTGGTCCAGTTGGGCCCGCCGCCGCCGCCGCCGGACCCCGCGCACGTCGGCCCCGCGCCGCCGCCGCGCGGCTCCGCGCGCCCGGGGCCCACGCTGCCCGCCTACGGCCTCACGCGGCCCGGGCCCACGCCGCCGGCGCTGGACCCGGTGCAGCCGGGCGCCAGCCTGCCGCCGCCCGGGGCCCCGAAAAATCCAGGGATGGGTGGGGTCTACAAGATGGTTTTTGAGGGAAGTGGCGGTACTCGGACCCTTGGAATTAAACAAGAAATACGACGTAAGCCTTTTCTTGGGTTTGCCGTGCTTTAGGTCCATTTTCCTGCGCCCACACAAAAGCCTGGACCTTGCTTGATCAGTCACAGACGCCTTGGGCCTGCAATTTGGTTTCGTTGCCGCATCCATCTGTGAATTCAACCCTTACACTCTGTGTAAACACCTTCGAGCAGGGTTGTGGGATCAAGGGGTTTATCCCCACTTCTGTGATACAAGGGAATCTTTGGGGGTAGTCTTTGGGAAGCCCTTTCTGTTGCATGGCAGGGGGCATTTCCCGTGGCCCTGCTTTTGAGTGGATCCACAGCAGCATCCTTTTAGCAGCGTCCATTGCCGCCCTTCCGAATTCCCTTTCACTTTCCAATGATCCGAATCTCTGTGACAGGACTCACCTCCCTTAGACATTTGGTAGGGGAATCAATCCCAGTCTGATTCCGCTCCGTGAGCTGTTCCGCCCAAGTCCAAACAATGCTGCCCATCGGCTCAAACTCACGGCTGACCTCTGAAGAGGTAGAGTTGGCCGGTGCGAGTCACTTGCCAAAGTCCTGGGATCTGTTCAGGGTATGTTCTCCACATCTTGGCCAGAGCCGGTCGACTCCAAAAGGGAAAAGAGAGTCATTCGACTGGTTTTTACTTTGGAGGCAAGGACATCGGGGCAGTTCCGCGGCCTCGGTGTTCGCTTTTCGGACTTTGTGTGGCAGAGGGGGCCTCGGGGGTAGTTCGGGCCATGCCGAACTTGTCGCCTGCAGAGGCGCGGAACGTGGCGGAAGGGAGGTGGTAGGGTCGTTCAGCAAGCCTTGGCAGGGTGAGAGGTTGCGACTCACGCCACTTACCCTCCACAACACCCAACCTGAAAGTGCCCCCCATGGTTTGGACCATGTTCCTCGAACAGGGCCATCTTTCAGACGGTTTGTCAGACGAAAAGGAACCCGAAGGGGTTGTCCCTGTCCCGCCTTGGAGTTTCAGGAGCTGGACCAGAGTTGGGGCGAGTTGCTCTAAGAACTCTCTTTCAGACAGGGTTGTCAAACCTCTGGCCGGTTCTTTTTGGCCCTGGCCCAACCGAGAAGATTCCATCATGGGCCGATTTTTGTTGGTTGACCCAGCAGATGGAGGAGCCACAGGCCCGGGTGGAAGATCTAAATTTTATCTAAAGCAAACAACAAGACGAATCCCTTGGTACATCCTCACCTGCTTAAACCTCTTTTTGGCCTGTGCATCTTGTACCCTTAGGAGCCAAATAATTTGAACTGCATGTTTAAAGCAGAAGAAGCCATGGTCCTAACAACACGTTGGTGATTTTGCCTGCCCCCTCATGCTATACGCTATGGGCTATGGCATTATGTTTTATTCCGACCTCACGGGGGGGTTGTGACGCGGGACCCATTTTGGTTTGCCCTTTGGGTTGGTGAGTTGCAGATCCAACACGTGCCCGGTCTCAAGGGTCCCTCTTGTGAGTGTCTGGGGATTTCTCGACAGAAACCTTAGGCATCTCCGATTGCAACAGTTCCCCTTGAAGTTCCCCCGAGCGATTTACCCAGGGGCGCCGAATCCCATTTTGAGAAGCTCCCATGTCACCAAAACGAACCCATTGGGTCCCCAAAGGAAACGGCCAGTTGGATGGTTTGGGTCAGACTCCATCTCTCATTCCCATCGATTTCGCAAGCAAATGCCTCTGCTTTGCAGGGCCCTTGCTCCAAAGCCCGAAGTGAGGGAGCCAGAAAGCCAGTCCCAATGCGGATGTTTGAGCCCTTCAAGATCTCTTTCCATGGATCCGGGTCTCACTCCCTGAGTTGAGTTTCGGACTTTACACGTTTTGGGTTTGGACCATTTTAGTGCGTGAATAAACATGTTCCGACTTTTTTGGCCACACCACTCAGGAAGTGAGGGCCTTCTTGGTATTCAAGGCTTTGATTATGACAACTTTCTCTGGAACTTTGTCTTGACGACTCCCACTGACGGCCATAACTTGTCCCTCATCAGACGCTATTTACACGAGTTAAAATTTCGCCAGCAGTTAGCGTTGGGGAACTGTGTAATTCATTTCCTAGGGTGTTGAGCCAAGTTCAAAAGACGCACGCCATCTGGTGAATTCACTCAAGATAGGGTTGAGCCAAAACGCTGTCAAAGACATGCTTGCGAGCCTCTTGGGGCCCTCAGGAAGTGGGAGTATATGAAATGAATTCCTGAAAGGTACATGTCGTCTACAGGTTCCCTTGTTGGCCTTGTTCCACCTGCAAGTATGGACAGGTGCTCAATATGCAAGATCCATCCTTCAGAGGGTGCCTGGTACCCTTCGAGGATGTTTTTAGGGGTTGAATGGGTCGTGTAGCGCGTCCAAGGGTTTATTCAGGGGAACATGTTGGGCCAGACTGTGGATAGACAGAATTCTGCACCGCCTAAGAAACCCCGGAATGATGATTCCTGTGTAAATACCGACAAACAATGGCATGCCCATTTGAAACATGGCTTTTCCCACCAAAATAAAGCATGGTTGTGGGATCAAGGGGTTTGTCCCCACTTCTGTGATACAAGTGAATCTTGCCCTCTATATAGGGGGTTGGTCTTTGGGAGGCCCTTTTTGTTGCATCACAGAAGTGGTCATTTCACACAACCCTGTACATAAAGGGACACCACCATTTACCAGGCAATGTTCAGGTGTATAACGTAAGGATCCCTGTTTCGGAGGGCGCTTTGTTTTCTTCTTTCTCGAGGATGCCGAGCATCTCCTCCCCGACCGACCGGAAGATGAGGAGCTGGTGATGGATGCCTCCCGTCCGCGGCAGAGGCGCGTGGGTCGGTCAAGGACGGAGGGCAAATGGGTGTGGCTCCAAATTAAACAACTGGGCTTACGCGGGTTTTAGTCTTTGGTTTCATTTGAAAAGGTGCCATTTTGGTACATTTGTTTGACCCACAGCCAAATGTCAAGTTCGAGGTCGCACGATCCAAGCACAGACGAAATGTCCAACGCACGGTTTGTTTTTGTTGGTCTTTCCCTTAAACGGTTTGTCTGAATCATCACATGTTTGGCTCAAAGTGACCTTCCCGTGATGCTTTGCGGGAAATACAGGCAAACCTTGGCTCAGGCCCGTTAAAAACGAATACTCAACAGATTTGAAGCGCACCAAAGGACCATCACGTGTGGCATCCTAAAGCAACTCATTTGCTAGAACGCGATCAACGGGCTACCCAAGTGGAGAAGTGGAAGTTTGATGTTCCCAGACCCCAGGGCATTTTGTAGAGAGATTGCCGGTAAAGCCAAGCTTGCTTTGATTCATGGGAAGCATTGCACATGAATGTTCGATAAGGCATGACTTAACTGGCTTTAACGGCAGCCACAGGCATATAAAGCAGAAAATCTGTTCAATGAGAGGAAGAGCACAGCGAGGCTCGTGTTAGTTCAGAGGCAGTCCTGGGGCTGTTGTCAACATTTACGAGTTGGAACCCCATCGAACGTCGGAGATCTGGGCTGGAGGGTAATCCTTCCTCACTTGCCTTGGGTTACGCAAGGAGTCCCGGTCTCCTTTGTAGTGGCTTCCCTATAGGGATTATGGAAAATCGGATTGAACATACCCTCCATCATATGAACAGAGGATACTTTTTCTCTAGGAGTCGGACGAGTTGGTCGGGTTCTACCGGGTCGGGCACCGGCGTTTTATCTTAGGACCAGTTCCAATACGCCCTTCCCTAAGGTGAAGCCTAGGCTTGGGTTCCTTCAGGGATTCCAACCTTTCTCTTCAAGCCCGAACAAAATCCATGTAGGTGATATATACCAACATTTGACACGTTTGGAGGGAATCGGTGGGTTGAATGTTGATTTCGAAAGTTAACATGGGTCAAAGTGGCCCCTGAAAAAAAAGCGACCCCGTGTTTGGGTAGTTTTCACAGGAAGCAACAAAAAACCCACAGGTTCTCATGTGGAAGGTCGCCCTGAGTTCCCCACAAATTCCGAATCCCAAGCCAAACCAGCATCCAATAAAACACAAAGCAAGAGCCAACCCATAGAGAAAGGAAGGTCCCATAGAAAAGAGCGCCGAATAATACACTCCTCACAACTCCAAGTCGATCAGGGTACCGACTCCTGGGCTTAGAGTCCAACCAAAACTCGAAAACAAAACCCTGCCTCAAAACCTTGGCTTGTTTTTTCTTTTTCCTCCCCGGAGAGTCTTGCGAATTTGTACTGGACAACCCAAAAAGACGCCGCGGATGTTTGAGCAACAGGCACCTTCAATCTTGGTTGGTCTCTCTTTTGGTCTCACCTATCTGTCAGACATCGGGAGGACCCCCAAAATGGCCCGGGCTTTCCTCTTGTTGTTGGTACCATCACAAAACAGATCCCCCTGCGTTTTTTTTCTCCCCCCCCACAAAAGATGCAATTTCGCCCCATGTTTCATAAAGGTTTGTTCGTTTGTTGGGTGGGGCCCCGACAATGGTGGGTGTTTTACTGTTGGTTCCCCTTAACACCAACCAAATGTTCGGGTCCCTCAAACATGGAGGAGCCACCATATTTGTTTCCCCGGTTTTTCCAGCCATACCCCCAAAAAGAACAACACACAAAAAACGGTTCTTGCCAGCCATTCCCTCCCCCCCAAAAGAAAAAAAACAAAACATCCGCCGGCTCCAGCCGCGGGCTTTCCGCTTTCCGCTTTCCGGCGCCTCCGGCGCCTCCGCCGGCTCGCGCGCGGCCGCGTGTTTTTTTCCGTGTGAGGCGCTGGCTGTCCGCGGCGGGCTACAGCGCTTTGGCGCTGGCCTCCCTGGCGCTGCTGGTCTACTCCGCAGGCGACGAGTCGCGGCGCCGCGGTTTCGCTCGCGGGTCTGGAGCCGAGAACGGAGGCCATTGTCCCGCTAAAGATCCCCCTTGGGCAACATCTAGGGTTGCTTGGCACAGAAGTGGTTGGTTGGTTGGTTGCTTGGTTGGTTGCTTTGCTTTGCTTTGCTTTGCTTTGCTTTGGATGGATGGATGGATGGGTGGGTTGGTTGGTTGGTTGCTTTGCTTTGCTTTGCTTTGCTTTGCTTTGCTTTGCTTTGCTTTGCTTTGGATGGATGGATGGATGGATGGATGGGTGGGTTGGTTGGTTGGTTGCTTTGCTTTGCTTTGCTTTGCTTTGGATGGATGGATGGATGGATGGGTGGGTTGGTTGGTTGGTTGCTTTGCTTTGCTTTGCTTTGCTTTGCTTTGCTTTGCTTTGCTTTGGATGGATGGATGGATGGGTGGGTTGGTTGGTTGGTTGCTTTGCTTTGCTTTGCTTTGCTTTGCTTTGCTTTGCTTTGCTTTGCTTTGGATGGATGGATGGATGGGTGGGTTGGTTGGTTGGTTGCTTTGCTTTGCTTTGCTTTGCTTTGCTTTGCTTTGCTTTGCTTTGGATGGATGGATGGGTGGGTTGGTTGGTTGGTTGCTTTGCTTTGCTTTGCTTTGCTTTGCTTTGCTTTGGATGCATGGATGGATGGGTGGGTGGGTGGGTGGGTGGGTGGGTGGGTTGGTTGGTTGGTTGGTTGGTTGGTTGGTCAGTTGGTGGGTCAGTTGGTTGGTTCGATGTCGGGTTGGTAGATATTGTAGGAAGGCTGGTTGGCTCGTTGCTTGGATGGCGGGTTGGTAGGTAGGTTGGTTGGATCTGAATGCATTTTCCCTTTCGCCCATGCAGCCATTCTCCGTTTTCCGCAATCCGTTTTTAAAGGGGCGGAGAACCGCTAGCTTACATACACTACACAGGGAAATTGAATCGCTGGACCACTGGAGGGACGTCCCGCTGGTTTTTCCCTTCAAAGGTTTGTTTGAGTCATCACATGTTTGGCTCAAAGTGACCTTCCCGCCAATGGATTCGAGCCCACCAAAGGATCATCGCGTGTGGCATTCGAAAGGAGCCCATTTGTTAGAACTCGATCAGTGTGCTAGCCAAGTGGAGGGAATTTGATGTTTCCAGACCTCCGGCATTTTGTAGGGAGGTTGCCTGCAAAGCCAAGCTTGCTTTGACTGAGGGGGGACGTGTCCTTAGGCTGGCTTGGAGCGATACTTGCATTGTTGCACCGCAGTGACCGCCGGCGGTGCAGGGAGAATCCCTTCTTGCTCGCTCGCTGCTATGACCGTGTTGGCCTGCGGATTTTTGTGGAGACACCATGCTTGCCTGTGCATGGATATGTACCCCAGCCGCCAGAAATTTGAGCATCCGTAGTTTGTTTTTTTGCAGCTGTAAAAGCCCCAGTAGTTTTGCCAATCGGTTTTCGGGCACCGATTCAATTTTTAAATGTCATGCGGAAGGGATCTTATTCGTGTGAGTTATGACAATTCACCATGCCACAGTCAGGGTTCCTTTTTATCAAGGAATTTTCATCATGGATGACCTTGCAAGCTTCCGCTACGATTGCGATGTATGATAGAGCAAAAACAGTCACCGTGTTGTTGTTTTTTTACTGCCAATAATGCTTGTTCCAAAATCTGGGACTGAATCGCAGGTGGCTTTTTGGACCAACAGGAGCACCACCTAATGGGAACCCCGGATAGACAAGCCCAGCCGACGAACAGGAGAGTGTCGAATTCCCATAATAAAAACCAAAAAAACACCTCCTATCAATCAACTAGTTAAGTTTTTTTTTTCATAATAAACATTACTAACGTCCAGGGTAGGGCTTTTGATATACACCCTTACATCCACTGAGAAAGTGTCCCATAGGCGGTCATTGCCCAGCAAACCAATGCTCCCAAGGGTTAGAGGTGGAAACCAAGCATGCAGCAACACAATGGCTTGCCGTGTGTCCCGGAGGGGTCCGCGATATTTCCAGCAACCCGGACATTGACTCTTTCGGGCCATTTCCCAGCGAGTATTTTCCTTTTTTCCCCGTTTTTTTCAGAACTTCAAAAAGGGCTCCCTTTTCCTACCGCAGTCACTGGTCAACTGAGTCAGACCCGACCAGACGACAAAGCGCCCTCACATACCCGATCCAACCCACCCCCAAAACCGAAACGAGATCACAAGCAAAGCGCGGGGTTCTTGCTTCCCAATTTGGGGAACAGCAAGGTCAACAGCTCCGATCATCGGGGACAGTTCTCAGGTTGGTGTTGAGTCCAAAGACCGGTGGACCGGACCCCACCCTTCGCCTCCCTTCGGCTTGCGCCTTCCGCGCCAGCCCCCGGGCCCGCGCGGCCGAAGCCGAAGACGCGTGGCTACCAGAAGCTCTGGGGAGCCCCTTGGCGCGAGTGGCGCGTCGGCTCTAGCCGAAGTTGGGGCGGAAGGTGATGGGGTTGCTGAACCGAAATGGGTGGCTCGACATTTTTTGGGTCCCCCAAAAGGGCTGGGTTGTCTTCTTTTTTGCTTTT